AATGCGTTTATGCATCTCAGACTGGGTCTTTTGTCTGGGTATGTCGGACTTAATACCGCTTGGGTATAATTCCGAATAAAACTTCTGCTTATCTCTTGACCTTATTCTCATTTTTTATGGCGGGAGGTTCTAGAATGCTACAATTTTCGCACTGAAGTTATACTGCTATCTCAACTATTGCCGTTCGATCTTTTTCTTTTTGAAGGCGGCAGGTCTATCGACACTTTAGTAGCAAATGTTTTGATTTTAGAGTTATTTCTTATGGAGGGAGGCTCTAGAATACTAAAATTCTTGCTCTGAAATTATACTTATCTCTTAACTTTTGCCATTCGACAGGTATAAAACCGAATAAAACCTTTGCTTACCTCTTGCCTTTAGTTTCATTTTTCTGAATTTATACTTCTCTCTGAACGGAATGAAAAATTGACTAAATTGTAAGGTCTGGCGGTTTTGGAGATCCAGAAAAAACGTTAAGAGAATGCTTCATCGACGTCAAATTTTCAGTTATTTTATATAGGAAATTTAATAATGAGAACAAATTTTGTTGCAATTTTTTGGGTTCCATACCAAAATTTTGCAGAACTATATATGTTGCATCGTCATGTCTAGTTCAGAAATACCGGCAATAAATATGGCTTTTTAAGCATTTTTTTAATAGTACATGAATATATATATATATATATATATATATAAATATATATATATATATATATATATATACAAATATCCTTGAAGAAAATTTTCTCATAATCTTATTATAGTGTTAGCGAACTTTCAAGACTTTCCGGCAGCCAGTGGTTATAAAGTCACTTTTTCATGTCATATTTTATTTAAAACTGTCCGAAAAACTTTATAAATCGTAAAAAACTCATCCAAGTTTCAGCCAAAAATTTTAAACCGAAATGTAAAAAACTTAAAACCTTTGGAAAGGCAGTTGCCTGTTTATTAATAAATAATTTCTAAAAAAATTTTTTGGTGGTTTTTAGAAAACTTTTCATGGTGATAGACTTTTATAGTCTAAAAACTGATACTTTAATTTATTATCGGGCCAACGAATAGTGGTTTAATTCAAATACTCGTCCTTGTAAAATTTTATCGTCACAATTGTATCATCACAATTTTAAATGTTGCTAAATCTGATTGATTGAGGATTAACTTTGGTTAAGGCAAAATTAGTTTCTAACAATAAATTGAGACTGTAAGAAATTGAAAAATTGTTAATTCGGTATATGAAAAGCATTTTCACTTGAGTTGGTAAATAATTTTTCTACAGAAAATAGTTGAAATATACAAAAGTGCAGACAAGACTTTATACTATCCATATATTCTATGTATTATGTGTCTGTGTATATTTCTAAATATTTTAGCATAATGTAGAGGTATGTTTGCCAATAATTTTCACTCGATAATATCAGTCACGTTGTTCGGCGTCTCCTTTCAAATGTTTCAAACTATTTTAAAATAGACACATTGCAAATTATTTAACATTTAGTTTAGTAGTTTACTTGTGCCGAACTTGTGATCATAAAGACATGAAATCAGTTTAAATTAGTGATATTTAGTGAAAAAAAGAAACATTGCATTAAAAATTTTTGCAATTGGAAAGGATTTTGTGATAGTAAAAAAAAAATAATGAAATTCTGTTAAAACGATTAATTGCTGTCATACAGTTATATATACCCAGAACATAATAAATAAATCAAATTATATATAAAATTTTTAATTAACTAAATTACCTAATTCAAATCAAAAGTTGGTCTATAAAAAACACAGTTGTCTGTGAAAGTGAATTTATTATTAATAAAAAATTATTAAAAGTGCAAATTTTGTTACAAAGGTAAAAATTAAAAAATAACGGTTTTTTATAAATATAATATATAAGAACAACAAAATATATAAATATTTGACTTATACTGAATTTTAAGACACCATACCTAAAGTTGAGCTTTTTTATTTTTGGCTTTTACATATTTTTATGAGGACTTCTAACTAAAAATTTCTTTTCATTGAGTGAACTCTAAATTACTATCTACTCAACTTTTTTCCTTTTTCATTTTATAATAAGATTTCATAAGATTTCGTTGTATTCTTAAGAAAAAAAATATAGTAAAGTTTGCTCGCTTATATGATTGCATTTTACTAAAATGGATTAAATACAAAACATTGTTATATAAATAGTTAATATATAACTAGAATTATTTTTAATATTTTTTCTATTGATTATAATTACAATTGTTTGTTATATATTTTTTTATTTTAATTTTTCATACTAGAGCATTCAGTAATTGTTTTGATTTTTAATAATATAAATATTTTATGAAAAATTTTTCGAAGGGCTAATTTTGTACTTGCTCTTCTATTATTTTTAATATTTTTTCTATCGATTATATTTACAATTTTTTTGTTATATTTTTTTATCACAATATGTCATACTAAAACATTCAGTAATTGTTTCGATTTTTAATAATATGAATATTTTAAGGAAAAAATTCCAATGCACTACCATTGTACTTGCTCTTTTATAATTCTTAATATTTTTTCTATTGATTTTAATTACATTTTTGTCATATTTCTTCATTACATTATGTCATATTAGAACATTCGATTTTTAATAATATGAATATTCTAAGAAAAAAAATCCAATGGACTACTTTTGTACCTGCTCTATCAAAATTTTTAATATTTTTTTTCATCGACTATAATTGCAATTTTTTGTTATACTATTTTATTACAATATGTCATACTAGAACATTCAGTAATGGTTTTGATTTTTAATATTTTTTAATTACAATATTTATTACAACTGTTAAATAATTTAACATAAATAATTTAAATAAAAAAGAGTACAAAATAAAGGATATAGTATTTATATTCGATTCTCATTCATATGAATATTTTAAGAGAAAAATTCTAATGGACTATTTTTTTTACTTGCTCTTTTATCTAAGACTACTATTTATTACAACTAGCTTATCTTAAAAAATCTTATCTTTACAAAATATTCCAATATATCCATCACCACCTGACTCTTATTATCATTTCAAAACAAACACAAATCTTAATTCCATTACGAATATAATTAGCAACAGTTACAAATTACATTAAAACTAATTAAGATGCGAAAAAAATATTTGAAATAAATTTACTAGACTTTAGTTATTTTTTTTTCGTAAAAAAACTCAGTCAATGTTATTTTCTAAATTAAAAATTTTAGTAGGCCAAGTTCATTTTCTAAATACTTCGCACGCGCAACTAAAAGATATTTTTAGAAAATTGACGAAAATATTATATTAGATTTTGGTTCTGTCACATTCTAATTTTAATAGAATTAATTAATCATTTTAATTGAATTGACGTATGACGTTTGGATGCTTAAATTTAAATAAAATTATAATTTTATACCCAACTAAATAATGAAATGTACTGAAGAAAATTGCTGAAACGTATAACAAACAAATATAAGATAAATATCAGATTTTTTTTTGAAAATTGAATTTTTCTTTTGAAATTGAAAATTTAAGAAGGCATTTTTTTGAAGTTTTCACTTGAGACTTACATAGGGCATTTTTCACATTTTTCAACCCACAAAAATTAGCTAAAATTTACTCTAAATTTGAAAAAGTGTTCCTGAAAAATCACAGTCTAAACGCATTTAAGAAGACTTAAGAAGAAGTTTATCACTTAGACTGGGCTTATATGGGGCTATTTTTTTAATACATTTGTTGATTAAGCTTAGAAATATTTTTGATACATTTCTTTTTTTTTAACTAATGCAGATCTATCACATCTTTGCGTTAATTTTGTAAAGAATAAAATCTAAAATATTCAACACAATTTTATATTACCACAATAATTTAAAATGTGTATGACAATGAAGAAACAGATTTTCTTGATACTTCTGATAGATAAAATATTACATAGTAAATTATGCCAGTGTTTCATAATTATTTAAAAAATTGTAATAATAAAAAAATGTATAACAACCATTGGATAGCTTTCTTATATTCATTAAAAAAATTTATTATGCTAATGCTTATGAAATATGTTTTAAAAATTCTGATTGCTCTAAGACAAAAAAATATTTCATTTTACAGTTAGAGTAATTTCATTGATAATAAATAAACACATAATTAATACTGGAAATACAATACTGATAAGATAATAAGTATACTTTCTGATAAGACTCGAAAAAAACAAATGCAGACTGAGTTTTTTTTCGTCATCAGTCATCGACATGATTTTGTAGTGCATGAAATTATTATTTAAGTCAGTGTATTAAAAAGAGGATATTTTTGATGATGATTAATTTGAAAATTAAGGAAAATGAAAAAGTAAATATAATTATAAAGGAAAAAATAATTAAGTGATGTGTAATGCAATTTGTGAGTGTACGAAATGTGGTTGAATATTGAAAAAGAAAAATATTTTTAAGAGCATAAATTTTTATTATATCGAATTGTCTGAAACCAAATAAATTGAGAATGATTTTAATATGAAAAATTATATCGTATAGGTTTTTTCATAAATTATATCAATAATTTATAATTTTTATGAGTTACTAATTTAATAATACTAAATAATATATAAATAAAATAATAATTTATCAGTGCCAGTAAATTTTCAAAACATTATTATTAATTTGTATATTTGTTAATGATATATTTGATAAAAAAGTAGCCTGTTTCCTGAAAAAAATTATAATATAGCACCTATATGATAATGATATGAAAATATCAAAATGATATAATATGTGGGTGCCTTTCCATATTTTTTACCCTATTCTAGTGTTTTTCGCACTCAAGAGAGGATCAAAAAGGTGCACTTATAATAAATTTGTCATTTGTGCCTTTTGGAGGTTAGGCTGCATGTGTGAAACGTCTGTGATCGTACATCAAATATATAGTTTTTTGACACCAACTCATACACAGATAGACCCGTAGCATAGCATTAAATTCGGCCCTTAAGTTCATTTATTTATTTATTTCTTTATTTTTTCCCAGGGACCAGCGCACCTACGTCGGGCGCACACGGAGCGCCTGCGTGAAATCTTCCTGAAATACGCCTCGTACAGGGCTCCAGATGGAGAACTGTACATGACCCCCGAAGACTATGTCAGAAAATATTTGGGACTCTTTCCGGACCCCAAGGAATCCGACGCCAAAGGTAATAAAGGAACCACGACCAGATTTATACCTATACACATCTTAGTTGCAAAAGCTTGGCTCGGTTACATATTTTATGTTTTATGGCCATACTAAGGAGATAGCGTTAAGTAGTTCAAATTAATAGGTACTGATAAGTTGCACTTTGTTATTTTGAGAATTATGCTAATTGGAGGTTAGTTTTGAACAGGTGACAAAAGACTGAATACTTAAAGAAAAAACGTATAGTAAGTCCATATGCATAGATTTGTGGCAGTTTTATGACTACCAACATATTGAAAGCCAACATCAAGAATATACGATTTTTCAAATTAAATTAGATGCACTAAGAATACCAGATCTTCTACTTTATCTAGTTCATAGTTTTCTTGTTGGTCCACTAGTTTTTTTCTCTATTGCAGATTTGACGTACAACGCAGAATCCGTTCGCCTGATTGCCGGAATAGCAGACACCAGCAAAGACGGCCTGATATCATTCCCGGAATTCCAGGCCTTCGAAGGGACCCTCTGCGCCCCCGACGCCCTTTACAAAACCGCCTTCCAGTTATTCGACACCAATAGTAGCGGGGCGATAAGCTTCGGTAAGGAAAATAAAAATTATCGAAAAAAGTGACGTAAAATCTAGTTTAAAGATCGGGATAAATAATGTATGAATTTTTTTTCGTCTACTTGTCAACCTGTTCACATAATTATCTAACTGTTCACCTGTTTATTTGCCCACATATCTACATATTTATCTTTCTACCAATTTACCAATGTACCTGTCTTCTAATTTTTCTGACCATCAGTTTAACTGTCTACATGTCTACGAAGAATAGATAGGTAGGAAAGTAAAAAAATCTACCCATTTTGACTGTAGACCAATTTACTTGTCGACTAATTTACTTGTCGACTAATTTACCTGTCGACCAATTTACATATCGACCAATTTACATATCGACCAATTTACCTGTCGACCAATTTACCTGTCGACCAATTTACCTGTCGACCAATTTACCTGTCGACCAATTTACCTGTCGACCAATTTACCTGTCGACCAATTTACCTGTCGACCAATTTACCTGTCGACCACTTTACCTGTCGACCACTTTACCTGTCGACCACTTTACCTGTCTGCCAATTTATCTGTCGACCACTTTACCTGTCTGCCAATTTATCTGTCTACCAATTTATCTGTTTATCAGTTTACCTGTCTATCAATTAATCTATTTACATTTTACCTGTCTACTAATTCATCTCTAGACCAATTTACCTGTCGACCAATTTACCTGTCTGTTAATTCACCTAATGTAACTTTCTTCCTAATGTATTTTTCTACTTATCTACCAGTTCTACGAAAATGAATAAATTTTTAATTTAGTCATTATTAGTAAAATGTTGTTTGAATCATTCAAATCGGATGCTCCGATCTCTGTAATTTTTTCCCAAAACTAATCAATTCGATTCGATATCTGCCTTTCCCAAAAACTAATCTATTACATTTTTCAGACGAGTTTGCTTCCATAATGAGAAAGACTGAACTACATTCAAGGATTCCATTCAACATGGACGGAGGATTTGTACAACTATATTTCGGCAAAGTAAGTACCTACAAAAACAATTTTTGAGTGCCTACATCCTCACTATTTTTTCTAATTTTTTAGAACAAAACAAGACAAATCAATTATGCTGAATTCAGTCAATTCCTGCACGATTTTCACGAAGAATATGCCATGGAAGCATTTAGGAGTCGAGACAAACACGGGACAGGGTTCATATCAGCTGTAGATTTTCAGGTAAAAAAAATTACTGGTTTTGTGTAAGAATGTGGTTTAGTAATTTAGGTTTGTTACAGGATATTATGATCAATATCAAAAGCCATTTGCTGACGACGCAAGTTAAGGACAATTTATTTGCGGTTAGTATCTTACAAAGATTTTAGTAGTTGACCAGCATTTCATTTATATTTTATATCCCAGATAACAAATGGAACAAGAGTATCATTCCCCTACTTCATGGCCTTCAATAGTCTCCTAAATAATATGGAATTGTTGAAAAGGGTATATCTTCATGCAAGTGGTGGCTCTAGGACGACTGCAGTCAGCAAAGAAGAACTTCTGCATTCTGCACAATGCATGAGCCAAATTACACCTTTGGAAGTTGATATTTTGTATCAACTTACTGGTCTACTTCATCAAACTGGGTAAGAGATAGAGGAAATAAACTCCAGTAGAAACAACTATAGTTGTATCAATTTTTAACTTGATTATTTTGCTGCACTTTCATGTATTAATGCCACCTTGAATATAACATTTTTTTTTATTTCTTACCGCTTTTTGCACAATTTCTTTGCTGCAGAAAGTGGAAATGGATAGCAGGGAAAAAGACTCCGGTGAAAGTCAGGTTGTTTGCACCTTATTGCACAAAGCACACAACAATTATTTTTAGTAATTAAATTATATTTATATTTTTGTCATTTATCTTTCAGTCGAATTGTATACAATGATCTGAATGTGATAGCACCTGAACAGTATATAAGGCATATAACAAAAAGGCTGGCGGAGATCAGAGCTGTATCGAAACCTGAAGATCGAGGAGTCTTTATGCAGATTTTGGAAAGTGGTTATAGATTTATACTGGGATCGATAGCTGGAGGTAAATATAATTTTTGGAAATGTAGGGTGAGGTTACTTAAGTCGTACCACTGCCTAAGTCGTACCACTTTCTATATATATTTCGTGCCACTTTCTATGTCGTACTACTGCCTAAGTCGTACTTTCTAGGTCATACCACTCCTAAGTTGTACTACTTTTTAGGTCGTGCCATTCTTTAAATCGTATCGCTCTAGGTCGTACGACTTTTTTTAGGTCGTACCACTTGTTAGGTCGTACTACTTTCTAAGTTAGATCACTGTTTTAGATCGTGCTACTTCTCAAGTCGTACCACTTTTTGGGTCTTACCACTTCTTAGGTCTTTTCACTTCTTAGATCTTTCCAGTTCTTAGGTCTTTCCACTTCCTAAGTCGTACCAGTTCTTAGATCTTACCACTTCCTAAGTCGTACCACTTTTTTAGATCGTACTATTTCCTAAGTCGTACTACACTTTCTTGGAGTCGTACCACTCTTTTGGGTTCGTACCACTTTTTTGGGTTTGTATCATTTTTTTTGGGGTTTGTACCCGTACCGCTTTCTGGGTCGCACCACTTTTGGTCGCACCACTTTTGGGTCGCACCACTTTTTTGGGTTCGTACCACTTTTTTAGGTCGTACTACTATTTGGGTCGTACCACTTCTTTAGGTCGTACCACTTTTTTAGGTCGTACCACTTTTTGGGTCATTCCACTTTTTGGGTCGTACCACTTTTTGGGCTGTACCACTTTTTTGGGTTTGTACTACATTTTTTAGGTCGTGCCTCTTTTTTAGGTCGTATTACTTCCTAAGCTGTACCATTTTTTATGTCGTACCACTTCTTGGGTTGTACCACATTTTTTGGTCGTACCACTTTTTGTAGGTCGTACCATATTTCAGATCGAACTACTAAAGTTGTACCACTTTTTTGGGTCGTACCACTTTTTGGGTCGTACCACTGCATAAGTCGTACCACTTGTTAGGTCGTACCACTTTTTTGGGTCGTACCACTTTTTTAGGTAGTACTACGTCTTAAGTCATTTTTGACCATAAAATGTCTATTTCTAACTTGTTTGCCTGATTCTCCGAAACCGCTGGACCTGCTTTTCGTAAAAATTGAACAATTTTTTACTCCGTCAATCTAAATAAAATATTTTTTGGATCATTCTAATCCAATGATTCTTTGTCTCAAAGACTGAATTGCCAATTTTTGCATGTTTTACGTATCTCCGCAGTTGTGGGATCTGCCTTGGCTAAAAACTAATAAAAACGCCTCACTGACAATAGGAATCGAATATTTTTTGAATCATTCAAATCGGTTCAGCGGTGCTCATGAAATTGTTGACGTAATATTACACACACATATCGTGTAATTTTTGCAGAGTATGCGAAAATGTTCAGAAACCTTTGAAACGTGAAGGATAGGCAAAAATTTTCATTTTGTAATTTTTGTAGATACTATAACTTACGCTACGGGAAGTTAATAAATATAATCAAAGCTAAACAAGTTTTACTTCAATAATGTTATTACACAATCGTGGTAGGGATGAGACCGATGCCAAACTTAGTAAATATCTTTTTGAAGCGAAAGTAATACTATAACACTAAAAATTTAATTTTGATAGGGCTAAAGATGTTTTACTTCAGTCACGTGACCTAAAACATTCCTGTGTCTTTTATATTTTAGCTGTTGGAGCAACAGCCGTCTATCCCATAGATTTGGTAAAAACTCGGATGCAAAATCAAAGATCTGGATCATTCGTTGGCGAATTAGCTTATAGGAACTCCTGGGACTGTTGCAAAAAGGTAAAAATATGCCACAAGAATAATTGGATAAATTTATTTTTTTGCTTTGTGGCTTGTGTTAATTTTGCAAATTTTTAATGCACAGCAAAGGCTATATTAGAATCACTTACATTTTGGTTGTGTCATTAAAATATTTTGAATATGTTTCACGAATTTTGAAATCGTGTTTCTTTTCCGTAGCAAGCAAATGCCATCAAGGTAATTTTGCCATTTTTTATTTTAATCAGTAAATGAATAATTAAAAAAAAAAATTATATTAACTAAAGCTGATAATTTTAACTGAGTCATTTATTTTTTAAGGTTTTAAGGCACGAAGGTTTCACAGGCCTTTACAGAGGCCTAGTGCCCCAACTTATAGGAGTAGCCCCCGAAAAGGCCATAAAATTGACGGTGAATGATTTTGTTCGCGATAAATTGGTGGATAAGCATGGAAATCTTAGTGTCTATGCTGAAATTTTATCAGGAGCTTCTGTAAGTTAAAAATGAAAAAAAAAATAGTTTGTTTATAATTTTGATTGTAAATTGAATTTTGTTTTTGCAGGCTGGTGCATCACAAGTTATATTTACGAATCCTTTAGAGATTGTCAAAATTCGGTTACAAGTAAGTTGAAGAATATTTGTATGACATTTTAATATTATATTAGTAAAAATAGACATTCAATAAAATTTAGTAAAATTTAGGAAAAGCATAATGAAATTTTAAATAAAACTTCGTTTGGAACATTTTTCTTGTAATATATTTAAAAAAGTGTGATAATTTTGGACATTTTTTTATATTTTTTTGGAATACGTTGGAAATTTTGTTCCGGACTATGTATTTGTTTTATATACATCACACAAAACTAGACAAAATTTACTAACATCTCGTAAAAGTTAATAAATTCACTTGGATATTGAAATTTTGAATAATTCGTAGTTGAAATGCAGACTTTAGTATTTATATAACTTGCAATTGCAATATATGGATCTAGGACATGTTTTTACTTTTGTTCAAATAACTTTTAATTTTCATCTCGGACATTATAATTTGTTTGCGTTACTCAAAAGTAGATAAAATTTACTAAAATCTAGTGAAAATTGTTGTATAAACTGGGATAGTGAAATTTTGAACAATTCGTAGTAAAAATGCAGACTTTAGTATTTATATAATTTGCAAATGCAATATATAAATTTAGCTTTTTTTTACTTTAGTAGATAAAATTGACTAAAATTTAGTAAAAACTGTTATATACACATGCATATTGAAATTTTGAATAAATCGCAGTTGAAATGCGGACTTTAGTATTTCCATAATGTGCATTATATAATTATAGAACATTTTTTTACGTTTCTTCAAATAACTTTTAATTTTTATTCTGGGAATTATATTTTGTTGATATTACTAAAAACTAGACAAAATTTACTAAAATCTAGTAGGAAACTTTGTATACTCTTTGATATTAGAATTTTCAATAATTCATAGTTGAAATGCGGTCTTCAGTATTTTATGGATTTAGTACAATTCTCACTTTTTTCTAAAAAACTTTCAATTTTCATTTTGGGTATTATATTTTGTTGACATTACTAAAAACTAGATAAAATTTACTAAAATTTGAAAACTTTCAAATACACTTGCATATCGAATTTTTGAATAAACTGAGTTGCGATAGAAGTTTTATATTATATCAGTATCTATCTATTAGTTTGGGGAAAAAGAAAACCACTATTTTTTCATGTAAAAGTTCATATAAAAATAATTGATTTTTTTCTCCAAACCTTAAATAATAAATAGCATTTTCACTCATAATAACAACATTCAGTATATTAAAAAATTAATTAACGCATATATATACGAGTATATATTAAGCAAACCATATAAATTAAACAATTTGATTTAGTATGCTTTTTTATCAATATCGAATAAAATAGGAGGAGTTCAGACATCAATTTATATAATAAACTATATAAAATAAAATCATCTTCATAATTATAGCCAAAAAAAATTTTTTTTTATTTAGATTTAAATTTTATATTGAAATTTTAATTTTATTTACTTGAATAAAATATATAGAATTCAGCTATGAGTTCATGATCTTTAATTCCTGGATACCTTATTAACTCTTACTAATTTATATTTTACCACTTACCAGGTTGCTGGTGAATTAGCAGACGGCGGCCGCAAGATCAGTGCCCTTTCGGTGGTGCGCGATTTGGGCTTCTTCGGGCTCTACAAGGGATTCCGGGCCTGTCTTTTGCGAGACATGCCTTTCAGCGCGATCTACTTTCCCACATACGCCCACACTAAAGCGGCCCTGGCGGACGAACAAGGGTAAAAAAATAATACATTATAGTAATTTATTATTGAATCAAATTGGATAAAAATATAATAAGAAGACTTACAATTATCCGATATCATCCCAAAAGTTGTTTAAGTTATATTTTAATTAATATTACAGTTTATAATATCACATTATGTATGTTTTTGTATTTTATTCATTTAGCTATTTTTATTGAGCTTATTGAATAATCATATCTGTCTAAATGAAAGCTGATTATTCCGACTGGAAATTTTGTTTTGAATTTGAAGGATGGAAGAGAATCTCAGAGCACCCTGATTTTTATAAATATATTAATTAAATTGATTAAATATTTTTGATAGCTATTATGTTATATTATGTTAAATTATAAATGTGTTTGAAAATTCAGGGTCAGCACCATCTTTGTTTAGTTGGAGTTAGTAGACCATTTTTTCCATTTACATCGAACTTAAATTTATTTGTATCGTTTTATTTAATTATCATGGTGAAATATAAAATGCATAAAAATTCAAAGAGGCCAAAATAAAAATATGATAATTATACCCAATAAATATAAAAATAAAAATATTCCCAACTCACTTGCCAGAGAAGAAAACCACAACATTACCAGGGCAAGATTGAAACAGAACATTATGTTACATTAATATTTATCAATCTCAGAAGAATCTCTATTTTTAAAGTTTTTTTTAATCCTTGTTGGCCATTTCAGGACAGGTGTACAAATTACTATATAATAAAAACAAATACATCACCTTATCGATTTTATCAAAGTATATTTTTTATTATACAAATCTTATAATCGGTATAAATTTAGATATAATCATCCCTTATCTCTGCTTATGGCTGGTGTGATTTCTGGAGTGCCTGCAGCAGCTCTGGTGACTCCTGCTGATGTCATCAAAACCAGGTTGCAGGTTGTTGCAAGACAAGGTAAATTATTATAATAATAAAAATAATAGTAACTAGGTGTTAGTGGCATTTTGCCTTATTACAAGTTGCACAAACTTTGCGATACGAGTAAAATTTATTATTAATTTTAAAATTAATAAGAAATCAATATATGAAGTGTACCAGCTTGATGTAGGGTATCATAATTAGAGAAACAGTTACGGGATTATTAATTTTGTACAAAATTGCCAAATATGTTAGTTATTTTCAAAGAGACTAAATCAAATTTTGAATTACTAATACGCCTACTTTTTCCAATTTGGTGCTAAGTTATATTTAGAGAGACTAAAAATGTCGACAAATACCAGGAGTTTGGATAAACGTCTTTTTTAAAAAATACTCTATAAAGTATTATTTATTTGACTAACGACAAGCAACATATTTGCTCAAACTCTGTATAAATTTTTAAATAGGCGTCCAAAGTAATATTAATTTAATCAATATATCACCATTTTGTGATACGAATTTTCAGTTACTAATTTATAATTCAATTTGAATTTAACTTTCATCGATATCTTTTATCTGGTTTTAGGTCAAACTTCCTACACTGGTGTGATTGATGCAGCCAGAAAAATTCACAGGGAAGAAGGTGCAAGGGCGTTTTGGAAAGGTTCCTTAGCAAGGGTTTGCAGGAGTTCGCCCCAATTCGGTGTCACGTTGGTCACTTATGAACTTTTGCAGAGGATGTTTTATATTGACTTTGGTGGAAGGTAATTGATAGAATAATCGAGTTAGTTTTTGAAAGGGTTAATTTAAATTCACGCCAGAAAAGCACAACTAATTTTTTGAAAATTAGATGAATTTTTTGATGAAATTAAACGACTTGTCGTAGGGCCGGAATAATTTAGTATGTTCTTTAGGACCATGATACCTATCATCTTGAACAATTTCATCGAAATTGTGGAAGTAAATATTTTCAAAAATTAATTGCGAAGAAGTGCATCGGTTGATTTTTTCCAAATGTAATCAGCATGATTTCCAAATGATATCTTTCGAACAATTTTAGAATTTTGAAAATTGTTTCAGGATTTTTTGCAAAAACTTTGTTGAAAAATTTTATACTTAGGCATTAACATGAGTTAGATATAAGAGTCGTATAAATTGCTTTAAACTTTTGCATTCGTTGAGCATGAAAATGTCAAGGTCAAATTTTGGTACGAACCCCTATTTTGATACCAAACGATTTAGAATGATTTTAAATGTCTAGAAAACACAAAATTTTTAATAAAATGATGCTTGTTAATAAAATTAGCTTTGTAACATTTATGATACAAGTAGCTTACAAATGTGACATAAATATTTTTCTTTCAATAAAATTCATGGAAGAAGCTCAGCAGTTTCTATAAAATTAGAAGAAAGTGCAAAATTTTTAAATTACTCAAAGAATTTGCTAATTTTATATTTCCTCGACGTTTTAAATCATTCTGAATCGCATGAGACTGAATTTGGGATTAGATGTGTTCGTGTGTGTGTGTGAGCCTATTTTTGACAATTCATCGACATTTACTAAAAAACGGCTCGATAGGTTCAAAAAATTTGAATGTCATTCGATGTTTCTCGATAAGGACTATCGGCAAGCCATTTCTTAGTAATTAGGAAAAAAGTGACAAATATTCATCCATATTTTAGCCAAAAAATTGATTCGGTTTTAAAAATTCAAAAATCGATATAAAGAAATTAGTTGAGAATCGACGATTTTTACGATTTTTTATTTGACAATAGATTCATGGTCTTTTAGGTCATACTAAAATATAGGCTTAAATTATAGGCCCAACGACAAGTGGTTTAATTTGGAAAATTCGTCAAAGTTTGTAAAAATTAGTGACAATTTTTTGGCATTTGTCAAAATTAGACCTTGCATCGACGTTTCCTCAAAAACGTCTGAACCGATTTTAATAATTTAGAAGCCATTCGATGTATCTCGATAAGGACTATCGTTTATCAGATTTGTGCGATGATCGCTCGAGCCGTTTCTTAGTAATAAAGGAAAAAGTGAAAATTTTTTGTCCACGTTTTATCCAAAAATTCTGACTCAATTTTAAAAACTGCAAAACTATACAGAATATATAATTTGAGAATCGTTAAATTAAAACCGTTAAATTTTTTTTTTGATATTTTTTATATTCATATGCATCCTAGTCCTAAAGAACATTTTGAACTTCACGGCTCTACGGTAAGTAGGATAATTTTAAAAATTCATTGAAGTTTGAAAAAAATCGCTCTTGTGCGATGCGATGAGTCAGAATTTGAATACCACAAATTTAAAAACCATTTTTTGGGAATCAGCGGAAAAATAAGTCTACATAATTTCTCTAGTTGTGTAAAAAATGTTACAATTAATTTAAATCATTCAATAATATCAAGGATTACGTACATGATAAACGTAATCGTGCAGTTGAAATAATTTTATTTAAATATCTAAATCTTAATTTTGATTGTTAAGTCACTAGTCATTACACGTGTCAGAAAGTTCATGCAACTTGCCTCAAGGCATAATGCCACTCTCAACTAGTTTATTACATTTTCCTCTTCCCCAGTCGGCCTGCCGGTTCCGAAGCCTTCGCCTCGGGCAAACCCGACGAGCCGGCGCCCGCGCCCGATCACGTCGGCGGCTACCAGGCCGCCCTGCCCGTCCTGGACGGAATCGAGACTAAATTCGGCCTGCTGCTACCCAGGTTCGCGTCGACGCTAACGCAACGAGGGCAGAAGGAGGCCAGTTAGAAATAGACTATGTAGGATAGAATAAATCAATTTTATATTTAATAGAAATTTTTGGACTCGAAGAAGAAGAAGAAGAACTTGTATATTTTTGGAAAATAAGAAAATTATAAATGGATCAAGTGAGAAGATAAGTGAGGTATTATGTGATATTTTGGAATGTGCTCGGTGCTAATTTTGGTTCCAATATATTTTTTGATATTAAACCTACATTGTTTTAATGGTTTTACAGACTGTTTCAACACACACACACACACACACACACACACACACACACACATATATATATATATATATATATATATATATATATATATATATATATATATATATATAATAAAGTGGTTCTTGGGCGTCCATCCATTAATTGAACCTATTTTATTAAAGTAAAATGTTTTATTGTCAAACGTTTCGGGTTCTGATTAGACCCATCTTCAGTGCTTATTTGTATGGAGAGAATTGTATACATATGTAGAAATGAAACTATAATTATTATGAAAACTCATGATGATAAGAATTGAAAAATAGAAAACACTTGAAAATGATTAGAATCTTGAAAAAATATCATTTTCAAGTGTTTTTTTTTATTAACAACAACTTTATTATAATATTTCACCATCTCAATTTATATACACATACGCATAATATATACACATACATATTAGGGTGATCCTTAATATGGATATTTTTGATTTTTTTTCCTACCAAGGGCTTAAAAGCTTCTAAATTCATAAAAAACATTTCTCGGAAAGTTATAGCTATATTTTATAAAATATATAAAAATTTGGTTGTATTTTTTTATTTATGATCAAAATAAGCAAATACAATGTTACTCTCAATTTTTTGATTCACTAGTCGCTATAAAATTCCGAAAAAAAAACAAATGGAATTTTACCCATGTTATTTTTATAAGAAATTTTGGTTGAAGTGTGGACTATCTTAAAGTTAATATTAAGAGCTGAAACTTTCAGGCAATGTTTTTTTAATTTGGAAGCATTTAAGCTCCTGTAAGCAAAGAAATTTAAAAATATCCATACTAAGGACCACCCAGTGCTTATTCCTCGTATATATTCCAAAATATTTATTTGCAGCCAAATAGTCGAAATAAAATCAATGAATTGACTATTTATTCTATACGTTTTGGTGCTGTATGTGTCTCATCATTCAGCATGTTTAACAATTTTTAAAAAAGTGTTCTACAAAATGTTTTGTATTGTAAATTTATTAAATGTTGTGGGGTAAGTTTACAATAATGATTAACAATAAATAATTAACATATCTGTAATACAAAAAATCCGATCAATGAAAGACTATGTTTTCGGAACATGTTATTAATTTAAACCATACTTTTATTACTAAGATTTTTATTATTCTGCATAAATAAGAAAATTATTACAACGTAATTAAGTTCTTTTAGTACATGATTGTTACCATAATCTTTCAATTATGTGCTGAATGGTGACATACATTCAGTGTCGAAACGTACATAATAATTAGTTGATAACTTGTTTTTTTTTTTAATTTTGACTATTTGGCTGCAAATAAACGAACAAAAAATCTAAATTTTATTTATACATTTTCATCGTACCATTTTTTTCAAAAAAATTGTTTTCCCTTCTTCAGAAACTATTGATAACGAATAAAAAAATTATGCACTTTTCATTTTATTTTTTCAAAAATTAAATGCGAAACGTCAATTCCATAAAAATCACATTTAATATACAAAAAATAAATCATTTTAGCAGCGAAAAATTTTCTCATGCTTAAGTGATATATATTTATTAACATAATAAATTTACAAACATAATAAAACAAATCAAAAACAACGAAATATAAAATTCTTTTTAGTACTTGTACATATTACTTATATATTGTATATATTTCAACACATTTTTTATTTTGGACAAGTAATTTATCTATTAGATATTTCCAATTATAATCTTACATTTTGATGAGATTAACTTATAAATAAATTCTATATATATATATATTATAATATAATATATATATATATGTATATATAAAAACTAGTTATTAATTATATTCTATAGTTAGATGTATGACATCTAGGTGAATTTAAAATTCGAAACGGCTTTATGAAATTATGAACCAAGT